AATGTCCACGTGGCACATCGGCTCAGGTGCTGACCCGCTCCCGGCCGCGCTGCCTGCGCTGGCCGGATCAGCCGCGCGCTGTTCCTCCGCTGTCAGAGACTTCGCGGCAGCCATCACTCTGGCTAAGAAGGAGCGCTTACCCGCGGACGGGTTGCCCTGCAGTGCGCCGGGATCTGCAAACGCAAGATCACGCACTGACTCCAACTCATTGTCCTGCGCGCGAGGCACTGGCGCGTCGTGGCGGCATTCGCAGCCGCTCGCGGCGCCTGGCATAGGGCTGCGCACTGCCGAAGCCACTCGGCGCCGCGGCTTGTATCATCATGGGCCGCAAGAAAATCAGCCAGGCTCATGGAAAGCGTGGGCGTTGCAGCGCACATCGCTGGTGCGGCCGCGGCGCGCCCAACGGCGTATGCGGCTCGCGTCTTCTGCCTGCGCGCACTGCTGGCTCCGTCGCGTAACAACGATCATTGCGCGCGTCTCCTGACGAATGTCAACATGCTGGGCGGCGGAAACCGGTCGCATTGACGCGGTAATATTGGCGTGGTCGCACTGACACGGTCGCGCTGACACGGTCGCAATGACGCATTCGCTTTTACACATTCGCATTGATACGGTCGCGGCGAGACGGACGCGTTGACATGGTCGCAACGGCACGGTCCCCTTGACACGCCCCACAAGACACGGACGCAGTGACGCGGAGAAATTGGCACGGTCGCAACGACACGGCGTAATTGACGCGTTGCGTTGACGCAATCGAAAAGACGCGGTCGCATTGACACGGCCTTACAGACGCTGTCGCATTGACGCGATCTTACTGGCGCGGTCGCGTCGACACGGCCCAGGCACGGTCGCATTGACACGGCCGCATCGACACGGTCACATTGACGCGGTCATACTGGCACGGTCGCATTGACACGGCCATAGCACGGTCGCATTGACACGGCTTTATCGACACGGTCGCACTGACACGGTCGTATTGGCACGGTCGCATTGACACGGCCCAGGCACGGTCACATTGACACGGCCTTATTGACCCGGTCTCACTGACACGGTCGTATTGGCACGGTCGCATTGACACGGCCAAAGCACGGTCGCGTTGACACGGCTTTATCGACACGGTCGCACTGACACGGTCGTATTGGCACGGTCGCATTGACACGGCCCAGGCACGGTCGCATTGACACGGCCTCATTGACACGGTCATACTGACACGGTCATACGGAAACAAAAGCCGCCACGGCGGCCCGCGACGCGCGCACCGAGGGCGCCAGCCTCGCGTTCGGCCGACAAGCGCCCTCGGGGCAGCGCGCGCGACGCGGGGGTATATTTACCCTCCCCCCACCGCAGGGAGACGTGGACAAAGAACACGAACAAGACGAGGAACACGAAGTCCATGAAGACCTGAGGCGAGCCACCCCAAACGCACCCCCCAACCGACCCAACCCGCCCCACCACAGGCACCGCGGCGAACCGCGGCGCCAGCGGCGGGGCGGCAGGGGTAGAAGGTTCCCAGGTCCGCGTTTTTGTGACAACGAACAAAACTGCGTTGTGTTCTCGCCAAAAAACAAAACATACCCCAAAAAGGTAATTAAAAAAACGGACTATTCCTGGATTATTTTTTGATTATTCGTGGTGTATTTTAATTTTTTGTCGAAAATCCCCCTGTAGGGGGACAGGCCCGACTTAAACCAGAGGTCACTCTTGCCCAGGGCCACTCTTGCGTGTAGCCGTCCTCATAGCTCAGAGGTTCGTAGACCTCCTACCCAGACACGTCGATTGGCGAATTGGCCGTTTTCGGTTCGCGAGAGGACGTCGCGGCCGTCAAGTTTGCGGGTCCAGGTCCGTCGGTTCCGGTCCTAGGCCGTTTTTGCAATAGGGAGGTTTTCTAAAGGGAGGTTTGCCCACCGCCGATGCACCAAAGGTCACTCTTGCTCAGGGTCACCTGGCGTGTAACCGACCTCATAGCGTGAAGCACTTCGGGTTGTGCCAGAGGCAGGCTCAGGTCCTTGTAGCTGTCAGTGCGCCGCGATCAGGAGTTTGTGCTTAGCGTGTCGCGCCGCTGGTTCTGGCCCACCACGCGTCGGCGCGACACGCTGACCACTTCCCGGTCCCAAGGCTCAACGTCCCGTGCCTTGCCCAGCCCCCCGCTCCGCGGAGTAACGTGTCGTTGGGGCAGCCGCCACACGCTAACCAAAGGCTCCTGGCCGTAAACTGTCGGAGTTCCGCGCGGACGTTCTGGATCTACGCTGGGCCCCTTAGCAGCATCTCTGGCGCCAACCCATGGCGCACGCCGATCCAGAAAATCCGTCCGGACCGCCGAAAGTCTGTGTGTATGCAGTTGTCTCGTCTTCCGCGAAGGGCGGCGCGACCCCCCGCGAGACGGGCACAGAGGCGGCGGTGCACATCAACCGCGCGGGGGCCGAGCGTGCCCATGGCGGCGGCAGCCGCACGCGGCGGCGGGTCAGCCCAAGCGGCGGCGGCGGGCCTTCTCCACGCAGAGCGCAGCGCGCAGCCATCGGCGACCGGGGTGGCCCCCGCGATCGGAGGACGGGCCCACCGCAACCCTGGGCAGACGGCACATCGTCGTCGAAGTCGCGATGGGAATGCCGCGGGGTGGGGTCAGCGAGGCGCTGGTGCGAAGGCGAAGCCCCGAATTGCATGCCCGAGAAGTTCCAAGTGTCGCGCTGCAACGGCAGGTTACCGCGAGCGCGTGAAGTCCGCGAGGGCAATATGGGGCAAGCCTCGTTCCTCCCGCCTGGCGCAACCGCTGCGAGTAGGAACCATACGGAATTCATAAACGAGATACTCGAGAGTGGCGACTGAGTCTTTGCAGGCTGCGCATGGATATTCTTCCCTTTCCTCCTATTGATTAGACATCGTGTCTGTCTTCCATAAACAGGGATCAGTCCCCCTCACTCCTCCCTCACCCGCTCTTCATCCCTCGTTGTTTATACTCTCCTACCCGCCCTCTTCCTTTTCGTCGTTCCTCCCCATCCGCACCATCGTCATCATCATTACCATCACCATAACCATCATCGCCATCACGCGTAGGTCCTGGTCACCATGGGCATCATCATAACCGTTATCATCATAACCATCGCGCGGCCACATGAATATTGTGGTCGACAGCCCAGGCGACGTGGTCACACGGACGGTGCGTCGACGACGACAGCGGTTCCTTCAGGACCACTCTCTTCCCGCAGCTCTAAGCCTCGATCGCCACGCTCGTGGAGAAGTTCGCAGGCCTCTCCATCAGGCCCATGACATGCGTTCTGATCCAGGATCTGCCTGTTTCTCGCCCGACATCGCCAGTTTGGTCAAGCAAGCTCGCTCGAGGCTGCCGACTCGCAGTGGACGGACTTCAATTTCTGCGACATTGCCCCTCGCAGGGATTACCATTTGGGGCCAAATGCCGACCACGAGCGCCAGGATGCCCCGTCAACAAGTGGCTCACGTGTCAGCGCGATCGCCGACGGATGGGCCCGTACCACGCTCGCCATCCACAGTTACAACGCGCGCGGCCTTGTTGCTTCGAGCTGTGTCGCGCGGTTCAGTGCGCTCTTGCGTATGATCGGCCGCGAGAACGCCCCGAAGGCCGTGGCGTCGGCTGGCCACCAGCTTCACCAGTCTTTTTTCGAAGAAGAAAAAACCACATAAACATAATTTGTTGGCGCTCCGCGCGGATTTCTGGGATCCGCGCTGGGCCCCTCTGGCGGCGCGTCCGGCGCCGCCCCTGGAGCGCTCCGCGCGCCGCCAGAGGGGGGTCCAGCGCAGATCCAAGAAATCCGCGCGGAGCGCCAAAAGTGTATTTTCATATGCTTTATTTTATTACTTTCGCAGTGTACGAGGAATGGCCGCATCCAGCCGCGCATCCGCCATGCCTGGAGACACTTGCCGGGGGCGGGGGCGCTCCTTACAAACGGGGCGGGCCGCATGCGCAGGGTCCTGGCTTCACCGGGTTGGCAATGCCAGGACGAGCCGTGTTCGCCGTTCTTCGGAGGGGCGGCATGCATCCGATCATTGGCGAAGGTCGTATAGCCAGGACCCCGGGTAAGGGGACCCAGACAGTAGTAGGGCCCCGGAGCCCCTGAATTGACCAGAATCACTTAGCCGGGTCTGCCGTAGCTGGTGTTTTTCGGGTGACGGCAGTTCCGGTTAGTGGAACGGGGCGGGGGGGGACCAGGTCCCACTAGACCCAGTCCTGCCAACGCCCGAGAAGGGGAAGCTTGACCACTAAGTCCGCGAGGCGTGGAGCAGCTTCATGATGACAGGCGGAAGACGCAGGTTCACCTATTTTGTTTTGCCACGCCTGGCGAAGGCTACGTCTCAATGGATTATTCCATGCAGCATGGGATATTCTGGAGCGTGCTCCTTATGCCGTTTGTCTGGTGGCCTTTGGCCCATTATGCCACCGTGCCTTGGTTGTTGGTCAGAAACCGTCTTGGAGGCTTCTCGGAAGCCTCCAAGACGGTTTTGGGGTGGCTTTGGGGCCTCTCGCGGACCTCTTGGGGGCCTCTGGGGCCTCATTTGGGCCTCTTGGGGGCGTCCTGGAGCTAATGGTCGACTTCTCGGGGGTCAGCTGGCGGTCTCGGGGGTCGTCTAGGGCGGAGAGCTCGAAATGTCGGTTCGTGATCTTCCTCTGGGGCCTCTCTTGGGGCTCTCTTGGGCCGTCTGGGGACTGTTGCTGTGCATATCTTCCCCCCCCCCCAGTCTCTCCTTCTGCCAGTGCCGCCATCATCATCATCATCATCATCATCATCATCATCATCATCATCATCATCATCAGCAGCATCATCATCATCATCATCATCATGATCGTCATCATCACCACCACCATCATCATCAGCATCAGCATCATCATCATCACCACCACTATCATCATCAGCATCATCATCATCAACAGCATCATCACCACCACCACCATCATCATATGCATTCTCGTAATCACAGTCGTACGTTCGTCATCTAGAGCGGGCCCCACGAGAGCAGGGCCGGGCAAGGCCATACGTATCTTATTGAACCACCTTACGTACCTGCTCCAGGACGCAGGGGCCCCCTGACAGTGGTTGGGGCAACGGGAGGGCAGGAACATCAATTGAGCATGACATGGGCGAAGAGGTAGCGGAGTTGGAGGAAGAGGTAGAAGAAGAGGACGAGAAGGAGCGGACAATGAATCAGGAAAGGTCGAAGGCTGACGACGACAACGACGACGACGAAGACGAGGGGCAGGGTTGAGAATTAGGAAAAGAAGGAGAAGGAAGCAGAGGATGAAGAGGGGGAGGGGGTGGAGGAAGAGAAGGTCAACCTATCCAGAGCGTGAGATTTCCGCGTGCGCGCCGAAACGCGACGCGCCCCATTGCTGAGAGGACCCGCTGCGGTGTTCAGCCCAGGCTGCTCGGGGTGACCCGAAGAGGGGCAGAAGGAAGAGGAGGAGGAGGGCGGCCGCCACGTAGTTCATCAAGCACAGCATCTACATGGTGTATCGTGACTGCGAATACCTCAGAGTGGAGTGGTACGATGCATCTACTTACATACAACTGCATCAAGGATGCCCCTGTTGCTAGCCTCCAGGAGCACAAAGTCTTGAAGTCCAGCACTGCCCAGAAGGAGTCGCCCTTAGTGAGTGAAAGGAGGAAATTGCATCGATCGGGGGCGTCCAAGACCCCGCAGGACGGTGTCTCAGCGTCAACCCGCGCAGCCCGATCGCTTGGAAAAATGGCTGTGTTTGTGGTGATTTCCTGTTGATCAGCATGTACTTTCTTGACGGTGAAGGAGTCGGGGGGCGAAAGGGAGGCAGATGTTAAATCAGGTGTGTGATTTTTTGCTTGCCTCCCAGAAGCCATTCGTCATCGCTGCTGGTTTCAACTCGACGCCGAGCGAAGTCCAGAAAGGTCCGGTTCCTGGGAAGCTCCGACGGGCGGTCGTCTATGGTACTACACCCACCTGCAGCGTTGGAAAGCCTTGGCAAGAGCTAGATTGTTCGTCGCCTCGCACGATTTAGCCATGCCCGTCCAGAGCTGTAGGCGCATCGAGGAGTCGGAAAATATGACACACTACCTTGTGTAGACTGTTTGGGGGATCCAGGCCCAGTGGCAGGTCAAGCAGGTTTTGAAGATCCCGGAGCCCTTTTTTCCCGAGATGCCCTATGAGATAGGACCCCGACCACCGCCAAGGATCTGGAGTTCGACTGTTCTGAGGTTTCAGGATTCCGACCTGCGTCCCACGGCCAAAGAGTTTAAAGTTGTGTACGTTGACATGTGCAGCACAGTAGAGCAAGAGCTCTGCGACGCGCTTGGCATCCAGGGCGCAGACCGAGCCCCGAACCTTGGCAGAGGAGCTGGGTATAGAACTGTTGCACAGCCAGTTTGGGGGCATGCCAAGGGCCCGTATCCAATGGGCACCACGGCCTCCACAGCCCGTCGGAAGATGGCCGTCTGGATCGAGGAAGTCAGATGCTCGAGGGGGGAGGACCATTGATTGGACTCCGGAGGGGTCCAGGGCATTGCAACCAAGACTCGCAATGCAAGGCCCCCCACTTCGCGCCAGTGTTAGGCGAAGGACTCGAGCTCGACGACCTGGTGTAGATCGGCTCCCAGGTTCAGGAGTTCGCCGATATTGCCGAGGCTCGCGCACAACAGGCAAGACTAGAGCGTGGGGGCAATGAGTCGCTGAATCCATTCGCAGAAAGGGAGCCGCTGTATACCGATAGATTTAGGGACCTATTGGCTGGGACCGAACCCCCCGCGGGCTTCATGGAGGACTTGCTGGGCAAGAAGTTATGATGGACCAGCGGTTATGGGGAATGGAAGGGCGTGTGGCACGAGGGTGGGCTTAGTAGATTTGCTGCTGGGCATTTAAGAGTTTCCTTGGGAAGGGGCCCCACCAGCGCCCATCCTGGACCAGGTCCGAGAGGCCCACAAGAAGTTCACAAAGAACACGGCAGTCGGCAGTGACGGCTGGAGCTTGGCATCGCTCAAGCTTTCGAGTGGCGAGGCGATCGCAGCGCGCGGCCGCTTTCCCTCGCGCATAGAGTTGCACCGTCTGGCCCCAGAGCAGTGCGACCATGCGTTCTTGGCGTTTTGGAAGATAGCAGCTTGGATGCATGGGCCCAGGGGCATCTTGGCGACGGCGGCCCGCGTCCTTGATCGTCTTAGGAGATATGAAGCTAGCCAGTGGAAGCCGCGCGCCACCTCGCTTGCGTCTTCGGAGCCATGGGAAACAAAAGCTGCGAGCGAGCTATATGGCAACAAGCAGAAGCAGGAGATGCGAGACAAGCAGTAGGGGGAGCATCGGTATCGGCACTCATAGACATGGAGAATGGCCACTCAAGGTCCCGCACGACGCACGATGGCACCCACGTGCAAAGCAGAACCTCAACCGACGCCGCGCGCGAGTATTGTTGGTGGCACACGGCCAACCCAGGCGAATTCAGACGCGGGATGTAGCACTAGACAGCACGCATCACGATATCTAGCATGGCAGGTTGCACGCTTGCAACCGCGCTGCTGAGGGCCGCGCTGCAGGACCCCCCGACGTAAAAGAAAAAGAGCATTGAGCCTTCTCGGGGCCCCTCGAGGCGATAGAACCCTCGAGGCGATAGAACCCTCGAGGCGATAGAACCCTCGAGGCGATAGAACCCTCGAGGCGATCGGCCCGACGATGCACGCACGCGGCGCACGCCCAGGGGCAGCGCCGCAGGCGCGGGCGAGGCCGGAGGCCATCGGCACGGTCATCTCGCACAGGGAGTGTCAGATCGCAGCGTCGCGCAGCAAGCTGGCGCAGTCGCTCCTCGCCTCATGGCCAGTGACTCAGCCAAGAACCTGGGCCGCGATGTCGGCGGGCAGGCTAGGGGGAAGAAAATGGCGGTAAAGAAACTGGTCTGGGGGGGTTCGACAGCGGGACGATTGTTTCCGGTCCTTGAAGCACTACGAGCGTGGACGAACTCGCGTCTTTCGCGGCGGAGGCATCGCTGCTGCCGCGCATGGGGCCTGCTTCTTGGGGGCGAACGACTCGGGGGGTTCGGTTCTCAGAGCGGTCGCTGGATGCGCCGTAATGAGGAAAGCCGAAGGGGGGTCTCGGGCCGCGCAATGTCTGCTGACCGACCCCCCCCCCTCCGACCTCGACCCCTCTTGCCCCGTCAACGCCTCCCCGCCCGCCACGTGGCTGCTGGCGCTGCACCTGCATCGGGTCGCATGCGGGCCATGTTTCACGCTGCTGTCTCGGCCAGCCACCTGGGCTGGGCCCTGGTCGGCGGACCAGCTGGAGCAGCAGTTCAAGCACCCGGGAGGATTGGGTGGACAATGATAGGCAATGCACACTGAAGGGCCCCCCGGGGCCTGCACGTGGACCACGCCAAGGTGGGGGCCCACACGCTGATGGCCCCGACGCACCGCAAGGTCAGGCATTGCCAAGAACGGCAAACAGCAGAGCATTTCTGCTGGGTCGGCGCCCCACATCACGACCTGCTGGACCGGCGCCCCTTATCACGACCCGATTGAAAGGAAGGGGGGAGGACGTCGAGGCTGATTTAGTGGCGGCGCACGCGTTTGGAAGGCCCTCGGCCCAGTCGAGGATGTTTCAGAGAGATATGCTGCGAATCCGGATTGCCTCTGGCGCCAACAAGCCCCAGGGGCCACAGGGCGCGGGCTGCATGCGCGCGGTGGCCTTGCCGCGCGGCGGCGGTGCCATTGATTTCAAGAGGGTCATTCTATAAGCCACGACGCAGGAGATTGTCCGCTCGCGGAGTCCAGAATGAGCCCTAGCAAGCGAGAAGAGTTCCCGGCGCTTTTCCAGGGCCCAGAAGTCGGTTTCATTTGGGCACGCGCTGCCCCTGGAAATCTTGAAAAACGAAATCTTCATCGATGGGTCCTGAACCCAGGGACGAGGCGGAGGCAGCCGCATCTGGACCAGTTCAGTCTGCAGACATTGCAGAGCACTACGAGCTCTACATGGCGCCCTGCCTCGTGAGCACCCCGTGCCACAATCCTAACGGGCCAACAGAATCTCGTCAAGGGCCTGGAGAAGTTGCACGCCATCTCGCGTGGCACCGCCCAGCCATATTTCGAGGTTCGGAGGCTTATTGTTTGAATGCTGGCAGACATGGGCAGAGAGAACAGTCAGCTCGTCTGGATGCCGACGCATCGTTCTCGGTCGAGATCTACAAAGAAAGAGTACCCCGATTGCTGGTTTCCTAGCAGCTCCCGCTCAGAAAAGTCAGTCAACAGAAGGTACCCTCCGACATCCCAGAACCCCTCACCTTCGGGACCGCTCGAGGAGCGCCGAGCATCCGACTCGTGGGAAGCGATCACCTCGCTCATTTGCAAGGGGGCGCCGCGGGCTGCAGCACGCGCGGTGTCTCCGCGAACCGCCACGGCAAAACAAGTGCGGGGCGCACGCGACGGGGCAGGCCAAAAGACTTGCCGCCCGCTGCCCGCCGTCACACCCAGGGGCACGGGGGGGGGGGCGAGCTTCAACGCAACTCGGGGCAGAAGTGAAGCCGACAACTAGGGCGTTTGTTGAGAGGCCCTTGCCTGTCCATTGACCACCCCCGAGCCCATGCAGATCCACATGTTCGAGGCTCCCTTGCGGCACGCTGCGGGGATGGCTTTTTTTCTCCGAGACCCCAAAAAAGCCCCAGAGAAAAGGGAGGCGAGGCCACCCTTCGGGGGGCGCAGAGGCAGCCGCGCGTCGCCCGCCGCGGTTCGCGCCAGAGCGGCCGCCCTCCCCCCCCCGGCGGGGGAACGAGCGAGGGCGCGGGCGGGGGCGAAGTTGCATCGCGCTCCCGGCGGGGCGCGATGCGCGCAGCCCGGTGGCCCGTGATGACCGCGTCCGCCCCCACGCCCTCGCGACTCTGCGACGAGCCGCGGTTTTCGCTGCTGCTCGTTGCTCCCGCGCGCGCCGGGCCGTGGCCGCTCCCAGCGGTGGGCTCGCCTCCGCCTGCTGCTGCAGCCTGGCACGAGGGTGGAGAGCCGCCTCGGTTCGGAAGCCGGACGGGGCAAACGGTGCCGATACCGCTACCTCTGCCTCGTTTTCGTTTGTTGCGGCCCCGCGGGAGGCCCTCGTCGCCACGGCTGGGTTCGCTTCGAAACTATGGTCAGAACGCAGCTTGGGACAGGTCCGTGGAGTAGCAGTATCGATACCTTTTGGCCCCCCCGGGAAGGGGCACTCCATCCTGGGATGCCCTACGTCTTGGGCATCGCCATGGGGGCCGTGGGCCTTGTGTGGGAGGGGTTCGGGCTCTTGACTCGCAATCTTGTGGCCGTGTGTTCGACTGCACCCACTCCCGTCTGTGATCGGGTCGGGCGACAGGGGGGGCTGTCAAGGAGCGGGGGCACAACATCTGCTGCGCGCTTCCCTCGACACTTGGGGCGCCTCCGGCGCTGGGAGGCGCCGGGAATGCCAGCTGCGCGGGATGATTCGTTAACCCCTCACTTTGCTATCGTTTGTTTCGTCCGATCCGATATGATATCTTCCCTCCGATGGGGTACTTGTCCCCCATCTGCCTGGACCTCCCGTTGCGAGTATTTGAGCGTCCTCCAAACTCCTCCCCAGTGGCAGACAGCTGCGTTTTAAATAGTTGTCCCCCGTGTTGCGTCTTGATCCTCATGCCGCCTTACTCATCCCCCTCTGTGACTCCCCTCCCCCTGTTCATGTCGCCCTGAAGGAGGGGGTCCTGAGGAAAACGCGCCCTAGACCTCAAGGTTTTCCCAGGACCAGCCCTGCGTAGTGGATCTTCTTTTCACGGTCCTGGGGCCCGTGGAGGGCCCAAGGGGCCCGAAAAGGGCAAGAAACGCCCAGGCCCCTGTTCCTCCAGGACCCGCTTCTTTCATGCTTGCGGCTGCTTTGTCCCCCTTTGTTTACAGTCGGGGCCATGAAGAAGGAACCCTTTTCGTTGGGGATGGGCTCCGTGCTCCTCAGTTGCTTTACAGTGTTCCTTGGGCTTTCCTGAGGTTGGGAAAAAGGGGCCTCGTTCCTTATTTCGGGTTCCTCAGGTCACCGCCCCGACTGTATGCCTCCTCACCCCAGGAGATATGGTACCAGACCACGGCCTGAGTGCCGCGGGGAGGGCGGGGACTCTCCGCGTCCGCCTCCCGGGCGCCAGGCTTGCGGTCGAGGGGCCAGGCTTCGCCTCTGCATCGTCCTTGGAGCATGGGGGGGGGGGCGGAGGAGCAACGACAGCTGGAGGAACATCGGCAGAAACAGAGGGGAGGAGGGGGAGGAAGAGGGGGAGGAGAGGAAGGGAAAGAAGGGGGAGGAGGAGGAGGAGGAGGAGGAGGAGGAGGAGGAGGAGGAGGAGGAGGAGGAGGAGGGAGGGCGAGGAGGGGGAAGGGGCAAGCTAGGTGTGCTCGCGTCATATCTGTTGTCATACCCCTCCCTCCCAACCCTTATCTCTTCTTGATGCGCACAGGCTGATGTCGAGCAAGGCAAGGATCCCGAGAGGGTTTGCGATACATGGTAAAGCACGGCATAGCTTCGTGTAGAAGAGCGCGGCAGAGCTGAGCATGTCATGGCATGGCTTGGCATTGCGTAGCGCAGCATTGCATCACAAAGTGTAGCATCGCAAAGCATGGCATCACACAGCGGAGCACAACGCAACATCGCATTGTATGCCATGGCATGGCACCGGATGCCTTGGAGGGTAAATGGCCCGTGTACGAAAGGAGAAGGCCTGTCCGGAATTCTGGCCCCATGTCCTGCTTAACCAGGCCTGCCCAATGTGAGCGCTTTCGAATGCCAAGTGTCGTCTGGTAGGGGTATTGTAACAGCGTAAGGCCCTCTCCTTCCTTTCGACACGCTGCCCTGCGGTCCCCGAGCCCTCTTCCAAGTCTCCCTGCTCCCTGAGCTCCCTAGACAGCTCTGCACGAGGCGTGGCGGACAGCCCGAAGACTTCCTGAAGCTCCAGGGAACGCACAGAAATTGCCGACGGGGACAACGACGCAGACGACGACGGCGGCGGCGGCGGGGGAAACTGCGGCGGGCGAGGACGGATGTCAGGGAATAGTACGGCGGGCTGACAGGGTCGATGGTTTGGTTTGCTTGAACAATCGGCTCACACTGGGCCCTTGGACCACTCCAACGGGATCGTTTGTTAAGGTCCCCGGGGCCTGACGAAGCGGGGGGGGGGCTTCTGCGGCCCAAAAAATCAACGAATCGGCACCGAATGTGGAATCACTTCCGATGGTTTTTTTCGGCGGGCAATTGTTTAAATGTTGGTGCCTATTTGGAAGGACCGAAAACCATGCCGTGGCATGGCGCTAGAAATAATGACGCCATTGCTGCAGCGGGAGTACGATTCGGAACGAGCGGAAGCGTGGAAATGAGGCCAGCGCTGCAGCGGGAGCACGATTCGGAGTGAGCGGTAGCCCGAAAATGAGGCCAACGCTTCAGCGAGAGCAGCATTTTGGAGAAAGAGAGAGAGAGAGAGAGAGAGAGAGAAAACAAAACAAAACATCGTGTCCCTGGAATCCTGCGTGTAAAAAAAAAAAAAACAGTACGCGGAGGGGGGCCGAACAATGATTGGACGCCACCAGGGGTGAGAGGAGAGCAGTACTCAGATTGAGTAGTTGCGGAGGGGGAGCAGACGCGGAGAAGCAGGGGGAGGAGAGAGGATGAGGAGGAAAGGGGCGAGAAGGAGGAGGAGGAGGAGGAGGAGGAGGAGGGAAATAGAACGACTGAGGACGGATGAGGACAGCGGGGAGGGAGGATCGGGGAGGTAAGTGCGAGGAGGAAGGATGTAGGAGGCAAGAAGAGGTGGGAGGAGGATGAAAAGGGGAAGGAGGAGGAGAAGGAGGAGGAGGAGAAGGAGGAGGAAAAGAGTAGTAATTAGCCAGGGGGGGGGAAGTGGAGGTGGAAACCAGGAGGAGGACCTCGAGGAGGAGGAGTAGTAGGAGGCGGAGGCGGAGGCGGAGGAGGAGAGGGAGGCAGGAGGCGGAGGATAGACAATAGAGGAACTTGCGAGAAAGGAGGTCGTGTTGGAAGATGTTCAGAAGGACGGTGACGACGAGCAGCCCATGGAGGAAGAACAGGGGGATGATGTCAACGTGGGGACGCCACAGCTGTGCTGACGTAGGTGCGGCATCATAAGTAGCATGGAGCGGCATCGTAAGTAGCAGGATTCAGCAATTAGCCGTCTGAGTATTATGTGAACACGATCTGGGCAGAATGCATAGCCATTACGGTTCCGCAAGGGTGCGTTTGCCACGGGGAGGACGTGAAGAAGGGAGAGGGGACGGGCGAACTATTTAATTAATGTGCGTGTGCGTGTGCGCGCGCGACTGAGAACGGGTAAGGATGAGAGGATGTGAGTTGAAAAGGGAAAGGGAGAGAACGCTGAAGAACAGGACGACGTGAGGGAGGAGGGAGGGCCAAGAGGGAAAGGAGAGGTGAAGCGGAAGTTGACCGGGACTGGGGAGGCGGACGAGGAGGATTTCCAATTGCACGCATGTTTCTTGTATGCGCGGTCGTTTCCCATTGTGCAGTTGTGCCGTTCTGTGGTGTCGCGACTGGCACCTCTTCGGCTGCACGGTCGTATTTCTTTCAGCGGCGTTTTTCCTTCGCCGCGATGTCCGATGTTGTTCCTCTTCCTCCTCCTCGTCTTCCTCCTCCCCCTCCACCTCCACCTCCTCCTCCTCCCCCTCCTCCGAGTCGGCGTTGGGGGCTCAGGTATTTTGGAAACCGACGGAGAGAGGAGTTGGCGAAACTCTCTCACACGACGACCGCCCCGCAATCGCATGGGCCAGAGAGGGAGCTAGGGGGGCATGGCAGATGGATGGCGATTGCAGTGTTCTCGGTATGTGCATTGATGAACCTCGTATTAAACAATGCATTTGCTGCGAATACCACGGACAGGCTGGAAGAAATAAACAATGCACTACGAGAGTGTGATGCGATTGTACTGGCAACGACTCACCAGTGGGCTGGGCCAGGGCCGATGGAGAAGACGAACCACAGATATCATACGGCACTGCAGTTCGGGGCAAACAAGGGACAATGGATCAACCAGTCATGTGGTGTGACGCTCCCGGCTTCCAACGGGATGATGACAGACAAAGCTGTCCACACGCAGTACCCACCTCGTGCCCAACTGCAAGGTAGAACGGCAGGGATCAGACTGCGGACGAGAGCAGACGGCGCCACAATATGTGCAACAGGTTTACCGCCAGACAGAGGATACACAAACAATGGGATGCGTTCACAAAATCAGGAAGTGGGTAGAGGAGAAATGCGACGGCACGGGTGGCAGATCTATTTTCACTGTGGGAAGGGACATCAGCAGCCAATGGGTATTGCACAAGTCAGACAGCAGGGACTTGGTGGTCAGCAGACACAGCCAGGGCAACCATGCAGCAGTATTGGGACCAGTGGCCAAGGAAGTGGAGAACGACAGCGGCACAGCATTCAGGAGTTTTTGTGCGTACGCAGCTTACTGTCAGTGGTCACGACTTTCATTGATCGTGGGCCTACTTAATACTGCGTAAAAAACGAGAAGATGATGACGAGCAGGATTGACCACATAGCGGTACAGTCGGGAGCCCTACCCCATGTGCAGAGGCGCGTAGCATTGAGAGGATTAGCAAAACAACTTGAATAATATCACAGCGAGAGGGCACAGTGACCACATCCCTTTGTGCTTGGATATTGGACTGGAGCATCAATTTAATTTCTCGGGCCAGCACAGGCAGCAAAACTCGGGCAAGGAAGTGGGCCGCAACATGCTGATGGAGTGCCTGAGGAAAGGTCGCCTGAGGGCGGGATGTCTGCGCGCGTTCGGCCGCCACCCGCAGGCCGCCCAGCCGCAGCAGCCAGGAGGAACGCGGGCGAGGTTCTCTCGGAGTGCGACCCAGGCTGTCCCCCCAGCATTCCGCGGCGATGCAGTCGCGTGGTTTTTTCGGAGTGCAACCCTGGAGGTTCCAGCCGATCCCCCAGGAGAAGCATGCGCTAGGTTCTCTCGGGGCGCAAGGGGGGCATGCGGCAGAAGAAGAATGAAGTGAGCAGCAGGAACGCCCCACGGCAAATCAGATGCGGAAGTAGCGCAGCGAGGCGGGCAGGAACGCCTTGAGAGAGGTATTCCCGATCGAGGAGAATCAAGAGGACAAGGGGGTGGCCGCCTTCGAATTAGTACGTCGCCCCCGACTGGCAGAAAGGATGCAGTTCAGAGTGGACATGGTAGATCCTGACACGTAGGAGAGAATAGCGGAGATGAAGAAGGAGCTGGCGCTGACACAAAATGTGCTACGCAATCACAGACCAAAGTTGGAAAAGGCAAGGAGCAAGAAGCTGGCAGAGGAAATCCGGGGAACACACGAGAACAACGCCTCCAGCGAGATGCACAGGCCCAGGGTGGAATATCCGAGGAATGGGAGAGAACAAAAGACAAGATATTATCTCTCAGCGCGGACTTGGTGCCACACAGAGGAATGGCGGGGCGGGGGCTGGCAGCCGAGCCGATGGACCTGGAAGAATACGAGGAGGAGCATGACGAGATGCTAGCAGAAAAATGCCACCCCCACTGGATATGGAGTTCAAAACACAAGTGGAGAGGGACAGGAGAGACATGCTGAAGCACTGCAAGGAAGCTGCAAAAAGGCGAGCTTTCCCCCCGTGGAGAGAACCGGGAAAGCTCGAGGAGCGAAAAGCACGAGCGGCGGAGAAGCGAGGTGACGAGGAAGACCCAGGCTAGCACAGCACGCTCTACAAGTGCAGAATGGGAAGGTTTAGTTTACAGATGGCGGGTTGGACATCGGGCTGGGCGCTGGGCAGGACAGACAGAGATGACGATGGTGGAGCACTAAGGGCGACAGAAAAGAATGCGCACCACCCAGGGAGATGCGAGAAAGCTGGGCTGAGATCTTCGGCGCCGGCGAAAGATGCAAGCATGGGGAAAGGGGGCAAGCTGGAGGACACGCTCATCAAGCGTCGCCAATCACAAGCTACACATGCATTGGCACAGGTCCATTTCTTGCACAGTGGAAGGGGGGGCAATCAGAAACGATGGGGTTGGAGGGGGAAGAGCCACGCGCGCATACTGCTCAATGGGAATGGCCCTCCACAGC